GTCCAGGGTTGAAGGCAGATTTGGTGGGAGGGGAGCCCAGGGACACCCTGGCAGCAGGAGAAATGCCAAAATTAGCTGAGCTGCAATTAGCCGAGCTCCTTGATGAACCAAATAAGCTGGATCTGTCTGGGATGAAATCCTGGGAGGAATCCCTGGATTCTTGTTGTATTGCACTAAAATGCAGATTCTCTGCTGCTTCAGGGAGGAAAAAAGGGAACCCCTTTGTAGGGGGAGGAATGAGGGAGAAGCTCCCCCTTCTGTGCCACCACCGGGGCACAAGCAGCAGCTGGGAGTGCCGCAAAAAGGAGTTTGGAGTTTTCGGAGAGGGCTCAACATCTCAGTCTTCACTGTTAAAACCAAAATTGCTGTGAAATGGGAGCCCTGCAGCCCCCCCGAGCTCCCAGCAGAGCTGTGGGTGCTCGGATGCTGCTGGGGGTGTGCTGGAGGTGCCCCAAAAGGGCGGTTTGGGGAGCCCAGGGTGCCTGGGAACCTGCCCCTGCTCCGGCTCGGCTCAGCCACACCAGCAACCCTCAATTATCTGTGGGCGGATGATGCGGATTGCGGAGCACAGGCACCAAAAAAGCCCAGCCCAAGAGCTTGGCTCTCCTTTGGCATCGTCCCCAGGAGCTTCCCCCAAAGCTCAGTGCCCCTCTGCACTCCCATCACCCCCAAAAATAATATAAAAGTTATTATATACCAGTATAAACCAATATAAACCCTCAATTATCTGTGGGCAGATGATCAGGATTGCGGAGCAAAGACACCAAAAAAGCCCAGCCCAAGAACTTGGCTCTCATTTGGCATCGTCCCCAGGAGCTTCCCCCAAAGCTGAGTGCCCCTCTGCACTCCCATCACCCCAAAAAATAATAGAAAAACGATTATAAACCAATATAAACCCTCAATTATCTGTGGGTGGATGATCAGCATTGCAGAGCAGAGGAACCAAAAAAGCCCAACCCAACACTTTGCTCTCCTTTCCCTCTCCTTTGGCATCATCCCCAGGAGATGCTGCACCTTCCCCCAAAGCTGAGTGTCCCCCCTGTACTGCCATAACCCCCCAAAAATAATCTAGAAATTATTATAAATCAATATAAATCAATATAACCCTCAATTATCTGTGGGTGGATTGTCTGCATTGCACGAAAAAAGCCCAAGCCAAGTGCTTTGCTCTCCTTTTCCCTTCCTTTGGCATCATCCCCAGGAGCTTCCCCCAAAGCTCAGTGCCCCTCTGTCCTCCTATCACCCCCCAAAAATAATCTAAAAATGATTATAAACCAATATAAACCCTCAATTATCTGTGGGTGGATGATCAGGATTGTGGAGCACAGGCACCAAAAAAGCCCAGCCCAAGAGCTTGGCTCTCCTTTGGCATCGTCCCCAGGAGCTGCTGCACCTTCCCCCAAAGCTGAGTGTCCCCTCTGTCCTCCTATCACCCCCAAAAATAATATAAAAATTATTATAAACCAATATAAACCCTCAATTATCTGTGGATGGATGATCAGGATTGAGGAGCACAGGCACCAAAAAAGCCCAATCCAGATCTTTGCTCTCCTTTGGCATCGTCCCCAGGAGCTGCTGCACCTTCCCCCAAACCTGAGTGCCCCTGTGTGCTCCCATTATCCCCCGAAAAATATAAAAATTATTATAAAGCAATATAAACCCTCAATTACCTGTGGGTGGGTTATCTGGATTGCACAAAAAAGGAGCTTTGCTCTCCTTTCCCCCTCCTTTGGCATCATCCCCAGGAGCTTCCCCCAAAGCTGCGTGCCCCTCTGTGCTCCCATCACCCCCAAAA